ATGTATTCCGTTACAACCCAACCCTGCTTCTAGGCTACTGTCCCGCAGCTCCTGCCTCTCTGTTGGACTCTGTCGCAGCGGGGCTGCTGCTGTGGTGCGGAGCGCACAAACCAGACTCTTCACAAAGAAGGATCACTTCTTCTTCAAGGCAGGGGAGGTTTTGCAGTACGCAGTCTACTGTCCCGCAGCTGCTGCCTCTCTGTTGGACTCCGGTATTGCACACAGTAACCACGCCGCAGTCACCCCTGTCGTGCGGGCCGGATAAGAATGTCTGGCGGGCCGGATGTGGCCCGCGGGCCGCCAGGTTGGTGGTCACTGATGTAAGGGATAATGTGCAGCAACGCGGTCATTATGGGGAAAAGAACACCGACAGGCTGATCAGGAGCCCGACGCGAAGCGGAGGGATCTAGATCGGCATGAAGGTGTTCTTTTCCCCATAATGACCAAGTTGCTGCACATTATCCCGCTTATTACATGGCCACATTCTCAACAAAGTAACATTATGAATCCCAATATTAATTGAAATGCTTTTATGGATTTAGAAAATTATTTATGATTTAAAAAATAGTTGTATTGATTTAAATTGACATGCATCCGCTAAGAAAACTAGTCCGTTGTTACCGTTTGAACTAACGTAGCAACGGCAGGAAGTGCTTCGATAGCGTTTTTGAGGAGCTTTTTGATTACAGATTTGAAAACATCGCTGCTTGCTTTAAAAGTAGCACAATTCATTATGTCAAACCTTGGAAAATATCTAGATATCCCTGCCCTAATGCCAAAGTAACTGCACACTGAATATGTGTCGCCGTTTGATGTCTATGTCTGGACCGCTGCGTAAAAAGGAGGGTTTCTGCCCCGTTACTTCTCCGCTGTTTTCTTGTCCCTCTTGTCTTTTTCTTTTCTTCACTGGGGACTCATCAGCCACTAACCATTACTCCAAATTACTGTGCTCTCCAAATATATTAAAATTAATGTTAAAATCCTCCATGTTGCTATCACACGACAGCGGAAAACTAAAGACAATCAGACAGTTTGCTTGCTTTTCAAACTGTTACATTTGAAAAAACAGTTAGAGCGTCTCTTGTCAGTTTGAAAAGCCAACGGTAGGAACTGCTTGCGTTTTTGAGGAGCTTTTTTATTACAGATTTGAAAACATCGCTCCTTGCTTTAAAAGTAGCACAATTCATTATGTCAAACCTTGGAAAGTATCTAGATATCCCTGCCCTAATGCCAAAGTAACTGGCAACTGAATATGTGTTGCCGTTTGATGTCTATGTCTGGACCGTTGCGTAAAAAGGAGGGTTTCTGCCCCGTTACTTCTGCGCTGTTTTTCATGTCCCAGTTTTCGGTCCAACGGTATACAGTTAAATCGACCGGACTTCTTTCTGAAGATGTGAGCGTCCTTAACAACGGTCAATAAGTCCTTGACAGCGGTCTGTCTGTTCGGTATTAACAACGTGTCACGTGTTCTGAATTGACCAATCAGAATCGAGTATTCAACTAAGCCATGTAATAAAATGAGATAACTAAGTCAATATAATGAGATAGCTAAGTCAATATAATGAGATATTAAGTCAATATAATGAGATAACTAAGTCAATATAATGAGATAACTAAGTCATTATAATGACTTACAGGATTTTCTTTTTTCTTCCTGTGGCGCAAACAGGCTTCCATAGAATGTGACCTTCTCAGAGAGATTTAGCAAAATACACTCTGGCAGCTAATATGAAAACTCCGTTTCCGTATCAATCATTTTCATCAAGTGACAGACACATTGGATTAACCTTCAGCAGCGTTTTTTTCGTTGTAATGCCATTGAACACAACTTTTGATCAGAATAACAGCAAAACCCTTAGCAAAAAAATCTATAAAATCCTATAGAATCTTGTAGAAATCTATAGAATCTTGTAGAAATCTATAGAATCTTGTAGAAATCTATAGAACATAGTCGCCATGCTAAAGAAATCTGTAGAAATCTATAGAAATCTCTAGATCATTCTGTAGAATACTATACATTTGTACTTTTCTATAAACTTCTATAATTAAAACTATAACAATCTAAAGAATTCGATAGGACAGAACCGACTCATGACATATCTGTAGAAATCTCTAGATCATTCTGTAGAATACTATACATTTGTACTTTTCTATAAACTTCTATAATTAAAACTATAACAATCTAAAGAATTCTATAGGACAGAACCGACTCATGACATATCTGTAGAAATCTATAGAAATCTCTAGATCATTCTGTAGAATACTATACATTTGTACTTTTCTATAAACTTCTATAATTAAAACTATAACAATCTAAATAATTCTATAGGACAGAACCGACTCATGACATATCTGTAGAAATCTATAGAAATCTATAGCATTCAAAGAAAACATTTTTCTCTCTGGTGCAACCTATACTAAATTCTATAGAATGATATAAAACTCGTCTTTAAATTGGAATAGAGAAAATCATAGTAATCTACATCATTTTGTGGAACTGAGCTGCTTTGCAAAAGCTGTACGGGTAGATCCCTTTGAAATCTTTACAAATGTATACTGGATTATGTGCCCAATTAAATTATGTAACCTATCTAAACAAGTTTCTATGATAAAGTATTCTATAGAATTCTATTGAGAAAAACAGTGATCCACAACATTTTATGAAACGCATTTAATAATCTGTAGATTTTTTATATCATTCTACAGAACTAGAATTATACCAAATAAATACTATTCTATACAGCAGATATACCAGTACTTGGCTATTATACCAAATGCTGGATATCCATATATTTGCACAATTTTGAACGGACTTCATTGTTGCTTATATGCGGATACAAACAAACAAAACAGTAGAGTCACTATTAATGCATTTATTACAATGAAAGGTTCACCCTGTACAGTGTATAAGAGTTATTTACAGTGAGAAAGACGGTAAACTGGAACTCATCAGTCTAAATACAAAATACATCTATATCTAGTCTAGCTCAAACTTCGGGAGTTTGCACAAATACATCCTGTCACCTACATTCATCATCACCCCTTTGTTTGCAATCTTCGTGGCTGGTACTGCAGACAACCTCAGTGAGGTCTGTACCAGTACAGTATCACTGGCAGTGTCACACTTTACAAAGTTATCATATGCACGGAACTGTGGAGCTTCTGGGACCAATGTCCTGTAGAATACATAGAGTCTATCACATCTACAATCTCCAATGCAGCCACATATGTTGTCCACCACTACCAATGAATGAATTCTACCCCAGTCCCCATTATCCAATAGGATTACAGAGTTGTCTCGCTTTAGATTTTCGCAATATGCGGAACTTGTATACACTTTACTGTCAATGATTGCTCATGTGTAACAAGACAGCAGAGAACCAAAATGTACAACATTTTGGTATTCCTGCAGTGCAAATCGCTCTGCAATAGTGAATTGTCTGATACGTGGTGTACCAAAGACGCTAACACTTGGCTGGATCTGGAGAATTTTCTGAGTATTTTTTGTTTTACTCAACATTCTACACAAGAAAGTTCCAGCTTCATCGGACATTTGTTCCATATATTCCTCTGCATACAGTGTCAGTTTTTGTCTGGCAAAGAAATATCGGAAGACTTGCATTTGCACTGCCTGAGTCCCGGAAAACAAATCCAAAAGCTTTCCACAGGCATCCTCAAAAACAAATGCCGAGTACGACCAAAGTGGACCCCAGTGCCGCACACTATTGGCCAGATGTGTCAGTGTGTGTATGTTGTAGGACATATGTTGTACTCCATACAATTCTTGTATCATGGTGACAAAAAGTATACTTAACGTCTAAAATATTGCTTTCCTGCAATGTTAACTATGTTGAAGCACTTATTTTAACTGATATTATACACATTAATTATACTCTTATGTAGATAGAATAAGAAATGTGCAGAATATGACAGTTTAATGGTGGAGGTACACACATATTGATAGATGTCTTGTAATGCGCTGTTGAGGAACCTGCGACCCAAGTTGTGTATAAGATCAATACACCTTTGAAAATCTTGAAAGGGATGTGCAAAATATCTAAAGAATACCTTTATTAGTCCCACAGAGGGGACATTTGCAGCGTTACAGCAGGAAAGCTTAGTGTTGCATATCTTACATGCATTAAAATGTACTAAGTTATAATATAATAAACAATATGCTAAAAAAAGATTTTCAAAAATACAGATAAAAAACAAATCAAATCTACAAATCTAATCCTGTTGCAGTTCTTAGGATTTAGCAGCCCGGTATTACAGTTATTAAAGATGGCATATGTATATAAAGTATATATTGCACATAGTTTGACGGTATTTAACAGCAGCAAGTTACACAATGTTATAATCGGGAGATAAGTTTCCATTCATTTCGGCAAGCCTGGGCAACAACGATTAAAAGATTTCTTGCTCCCAAACCAATTGTATATTTCATTACAAAAAGCAGTTATACCATACTATGTTTAGGTAATGAATTATATCCTCAAAACAAACGCACACATAAATAACAAAGGAAAATACATAATTTAATAAATCCACAATATGATAACATTTTACAGATTCATTTAATAAACTTTTACAAAACATAGGTTGATGTTATATCAGGGGGAAAAATACATATTTAAACATTTCAATTATTCTCTGCATATTTAAGTAATGCTAGTTTATATAACAGATGAACAGATGTACAATATCCAGAAAGTAAGTGCAAAAAATATATATGATGTGTGCATTTCCAACATATCCTCTGAAAGAGTGTTAGTCGTTGAGTTGAGTAGTGAGCCATTCGTTTTTTTTTCGTGGTGCGATATCTGCTGAGAAGTCCTTGTATGCGTCTCCCGCTCTAACGTAGACTGGAAGTTTACAAGCACACACTCAATGAACCGGAAATGGAATTACGTCATCCCGTGGATCATCCAATGAGCGCGTAGCTCTTATCCGGAAGAAGTGGATCGGGACATACCCTAAATGTGATTGGACAATTCGAAACCTCGTACCCAGAGTTCAATGCAGTATATTAGCGGGATTTTTGATCGCTGGAGAGTGGAGATATATTTATTTTGAAGTTGAACGCATTATCACTGATTTTTCTATTTGTATGTTGTATCAGCTTTACCAAGATTCAATAACTAGTTGTGGAATAGATATAGATGGCAAACAAAATGGGTTTCGCTCTCTTTGACTTTTTTAATGAGAATGCGGTTGACATCGGCAAGGTTTCGTGGATCCAAGAGCCTTCGTCTTTGACAATGGAATCCGTGTCGGAGAATGAAACTGTTGTTAAAGTGGCGTGGCCCAAAGGCGGAGTGGAGGGGAGCGATATCCAATTGTCGCTGGCTAAGGTGGTCAAGTTTGCAGGTAAGCAGAATCCACACAATAAATATATATCTATCTATAGATGTTTTAATAGAGCTATGTCTAAATAATGTATCCTCACTCATAGCTTCGTTTTTATGAAATAATATTGGAAATAGTATATGAGCTTTATAATATCGGAAATTACTCACACTTTTGAGATCAATCTGAATCTGCTCTGAATCTTTTGAGATCAATCTCTGCTCTGAATCATGGAACCAAAAGTCCCACATATCTTGCGTGTCTGGAAAAAGTTATTTGGCATTTTTAGGGGGGGCACTTGTTTTGCCAAATAACTTTAGCTAATTCCAAAAAATCTAATTAGTGTGTGGTCCGACTGCTGCATTACACAAATAAGCAGTCAACAAGTAATATTGAAGTATTGTGCAAGAATTTACCTACATGTAACTGTCTTAATTGACTTAAGACTAAATAAACGAGGCGCCACAATAGAATGGAATGGACTAGATCTATAATCCTATAAAGCTTGCTATAGATGAGGCTGCGTGTGTAGTATACGGGGAATGGAGTAAATTGTCCAGTACATTTTGTGGTAATTAATAATTAGAAGAAACAAATGTTGGACAAAAAGTGTGTGTGCTAGCCGGTGAGAAACATTGATATTTGTAAGCACCCTGAGGGTCCCAGTTAGACTGCAATGTCTATATTCTCAGACTACCGGGATCGATGTATGTACATATATAGGCACTCCTGTATATATTATATTATTATTGTTCTTTTCAGCTCAACGTAAGCAGCTTCTGCGGCACAGGGACGAGTTTGTGCGGTTAGGCAGTGCAGAGCTGCAGTCACCGGAACTGGGCCGAGGGAAGAGAGAACCGAAGAGGAAGCTCTCGGACATCGAAGACCATGATGTAATTTAATTTGTTTACATTTCTCCATTTTAGATTTGGTGGTTTGTGTTTGTCTGCATCATACTGTCAGTCATATGCAGTATATGGCAGTTTAATAAACGTGTTTATATATAATTTATAATTGCATCCTAGTTTTAGGAGTGTACTGCCATGGTGCTTGGGTTTCATCTAACGTACCCTAACGGCCTGTTTAATTAAATTGTGGAAGTGAGATACAGTTAATATAGTGTCTAGCTTTTGAGGAAATCAGTTAATCCATAGCAACATTTCACCATATTACATTATATTCACTATTTATAACTTATATTCATCAGCCATGACAAGTTGCATATATATAAGGCAATACATTTATTTCTATGTTATAGGAAGAACCATCCCTTCCCAAACCACCTTCAAACGCTGCCAAGAAGAAGAAGACAATGAGCAGCATGACATCATCGGTATTGGAACAGCTGAAGGTAAATATATATATATATAAGCTCAACTAAGTGGAGTGTACTCTCAATACAATAGTAAGCATGCAACTCACTATTGTTTATGTTATGTACTATGTATTATCATTTTATGTCCGCGGTCCAATAAATAAAAAAACATATATACAATATCTATTTACAAGGGTAGAACTTCAAGATAATTTACAACTCGCCAGCAGGACTAGTGGTTTTTGAAATTCTGATACTCGTGCATATGGCTACATTGTTGTCAGCGTAGTGGTATTGCAGGGTGTAATGGTAACACATATAGAAGAAGTATAACTTTTGTGCCGTTTGACACCATTATATTTGGTTATATACACCATTAAACACCAACATTTCTGGTACCTTTATTTGTACTTCGCTTATGTATGTAGGTGTGTATGTATTTATGTAAGTATGTCTACCCAAAATTGTGTCATGCCATGGGCAAAAAGAAACATCACCTAGTTTTAAATAATTAATAAATATTTATTTGCAGGAAAAGTATTCACACAGCCACGACAACAGTGGACCGCCCGAAGCCGCATGTTCGCATCCCGACCAGGAATGCCGCAAATGCAAACTACTTCAACAACAAATAGACATCCTTGAGGAGGAGAAAGCTACATTGCTGGCGTCATTGAGAATGAACAAAAGTAAGTGTTCAATTTCACTTATTCAGCATTACAAATAATTGTTTTATTACATTGGGGGGAAGACAGTCTGGCGGGTCTGATCGCAGTAGCAGTCCAAAACATGGAGGATGGGTGATTTGCATTATTTCTGCTAATGCATGAAAACTGAATGCTGTTGTGTTCCAAAACCTTTATATATAAAATGTTTATGAATATGTTTTAAGTTTACATTAGAAAAAATATGTACTTCGAACCCATGTCTGAAATGTGCCAATGAATATTTCCAGTCGCTGGAGATGTTGTTGCCAAATTGGAGCTGCTATGTCACACGCCAGCTCCAAAGCTGCCAGATATGACAATGCCCATGAGGACACCTCCAAGTCCCTTCAATCGAGAGTCAAGTACACTGAGGTAAATTAATGAGTTTTAAATTTTTTATGAATAATTATTACTGTCTTTTGGGCTTCTGTTATAATTGTAACGATTCTAGTACACACTGGATTTTGGTTGTACATGTCTCTGGGCCATGCAGTGTTTAATTATTTACAACAAACCAGCTTTTTCTGTTTAACTCTTTCGGCGCGGCAGGCGACTAGTCGACGTTTGACCTTAATGCACTCGTGGCCTACATATATGAATGGAATATATATATATCAAATATATATATATATATATATATGAACTAAATATATACATATATGAAATACATATTATTTGAAATACATATATGAATATCCAGCGCTGAGCAATGCACAAAAAATATAAAATTAGCGCCAAAAGGGTTGTGAGCACATTTTTCTAACAAACACTGCATACTATTGGGATGTGAAGTTAATTAGTTATTACCTTGCGTGCCTTACAGAGATGGAGATGATGGAGATGCATCGGTTGCTGGTTCCCCATCAGCAAAAAAGGTAAGGAATTATCTTTTCAATTTGATGTTTCCGCTAAGTAGGAAGAGAATTCCAGATGTATTACTTCCAAACCCATCAGCTGGACTAGTGTCATGGTGCAGTGCCTGTGTCAATTTGTATATTCAATTTTAATTATATCAAAATTGAGCCTCCGTGGCGAAGTGGTTGGTACCGTCAGCAGCAGATCAATTCAAAAGAGTAGAGAATTGTTTAATCATTCATTTCATTATTCCAGATCTCTTAATTGGCCTGGAGATTGTGCAAAATGGTGGCCTAAAGATCCATTTCGCCATCACCATTATAATATACGTTGAAATTCCAATATCATCCACCTACTGTAACCTATAGCAGCATAAATTCCGATTGCAAACTCCAATATCATCAATTGTAATACCTGCTTCAGTCTGTGTGGATATTAGATGGTACATTATTATTATATATATATATATTTTTTTTAATTATTATTATTATTTGTTACTTGTCACAGTCAATTAATAAAATACAATATTATGCTGTTGGATTTCATTGCAGTTCCCAATAGCAAAGTGGCAGATTAGGCGATGTTCGACCACCTCGCTGCAGAAATTCATCAATGACCTCCTCCATGGCCTGTATTGCACAGAGTACATGGCCAAGCACTCACTTACTGGCTACAAGGCCAGTAAGGAGTCTGATGCTGGCAAGAGGAAGGACAGCATTCCACAAGAAGAGGTTGCTGAAATAATTGGTAAGATTTGTTGATATGTAGCAATAGTCCCAGCTAACAAATTTACGTATTAACTACGTAGTTACAACGTAGTGGTTTAGTAGAATTTCTGGACTGCCAGATACGTTTTTTTACTACGTAGTGAAATTACCAAATGGGCACTTTCTCATGACCTTTCGGCTTCCCCTGCAAATGTTTGTTTCTACTTTGTGCTAAACTTTGCTTCACATATCCTCCATGTTCTATGACTATTAAAGAAACATGTCATATTTTATCAAGACATGTCGTAGTTCCCGCTGTAAAAGCGCAAAATCTGAACAAAGATCGTACCAAAGATTCCAACTGCCAAACCGCCATGCAACTGCTCTATACATTGTGTGCAGTGTGCACACTTGTTCAGTTTACTTTAGTAAAATGTATTCTAGTTTTCACACAATTTTCACATACACATACAAAAACTAATAATTTTGTTCTATGGAGAAAATTGCTTCTATGCATTAATTAAATAACGTTAAAATTAACTAATATGTACAAAAACAAATCTCAGATCACCAAATAAACATCTACGTGTCCTTGTTACGTATTCACAACGTAATATAACTACGTAGTTGGCCTAACGTTGCTGAAGTACGTGCATAAACATGTACTATGTAAATACTACGTATTTTCAAGACATTACCTAAACGGTACCTAACCACTACGTCATATATACGTAGTGTGTTAGGTGGGAGTATGATGCAACTTGGCAAATAAAGTAGATTTATATTGAAATCATGTGCAAGTTGAAATCTTCCAAGTACATGGTAGTTATACATATTTTGTAGTGTAGTGGAAAACAATGTTGTGATGCTGGGAATTAAGTGAACTATTTGTAGAGTTTCTGTGTAGTAATATATAGTCATAAATCGACCATCTATTATAATATGAATACATGTACTGATTAAATTACTATTTATATTAACCATTGCATTAAAAAAAATTGATTGATTTATTACTCATGAATCAATATTCTTTGGTGAATAGCTTTAATGCAAATTTCAATATATTATTCTGTTATAGCGGCAGCAAAACAAATCTTCGCCACCAAGACGGACATGGAGGTACGGCTGGCCATCCGCCAGAAACTGAATGGGGCTGCCAAAGTGGTCTCGGCGAGGAAAGTGGCAACACCTCCAGACGCCAGCCAATAGAGTACAGATTCATCATTCATTTCATTATCCCAGAAGGTCTCTTGGCCCAAATTCGCATAACTTGCGAAAAAGTAGCTTACCGGCATAACAATATTATATTAAACCTTGTATATTGGGATATAATAAATAAATATAAATAATAAATGTATATAGCCCAATGTTCTATTACATTTATGCTCAGTTTGTATGCTCTAATCTTGGTACTTTTAACACACATGCTTATTTAAGGTACTTTATATTTGCTTGGATAGTAACATATTTTACTCACTGCCATGCTTCACAATTTTTATTGTATTCTGATGTAAATGCTCCAGAATTTCTGTGACTGCATCTGTATGTATACGTTGATCACTTTTGTTATGTAACTAATTATCTGTTACAACTGGAGATTAAAGCTAAGTGACATAACAATAGCTATTGTTAGTGTGAGTCTGTTACAAACAACTCATTGGAGTCTGCAGTACTCTACTCTGTTTTTCAGTCTATTATATGGCATGTAACACATAATTACTGTGGGGCATTCTCTAAAACATGTATCAAATATATAGCTGTATGTGACTCAATATCAGGCATTGCTATATAATTCAATATTCTATATAATGTCACAACACATGTGGTGTTAGCTATAGAAGATTCTGTATTGTCCATTCATATTGTAGAGCTTATTCTATAGAGTACAGAGCAGTTATATAGAAAACATCCATGGATTTTCTATAGATTATTTATGGAATCTATAGGAAAATCTATAGGTTAATTCTATAGAATTTCTACACCAATCCTGTACTGTTCTGCAGAACAATTTTATAGAAAACAATAGCAATTTTCTATATGATTCTATAGATTATTTGGTGGAATCTATAGTAGAATCCATAGGTGAATTCTATAGAATATTTGCCACTATCCTGCAGTATATTCTACAGAAATTCTATAGAAACATCAATAGATTGTTCTATAGATTATTTTGCAGAATCTATAGTAAAATCCATAGGTAAATTCTATAGAATATCTGCAAAAATGCTATAGTATTCCTCAAAGAAGTTCTATAGAAATATCCACAGATTCTATAGAATATAGGTCACTAATTCTATAGTTTTCTACAGAATGGTATTCTACAGAACACTTCTATAGAAAGCATCCATGGGTTTTTCTATAGGATTCTATAGATTATTTTCTACAAAAAAACCATCTACACAGTATATATTTTCTATAGTACTATATTCTATAGATTATTTCCCAGAATCTATAGTTACATTTCTATACTATGTCCGCAAAAATCCTGTAGTATTCTACAGAACATTTCTATAGAATTCGTCCATAGATCTTTCTATAGTATTCTATAGATTATTTCCCAGAATCTATAGTTATATTTCTATACTATGTCCGCAAAAATCCTGTAGTATTCTACAGAACATTTCTATAGAATTCGTCCATAGATCTTTCTATAGTATTCTATAGATTTTTTTGCTAAGGGAAGGTAAGCATATCTCAGTTTTTTGCTACCTAAAGCTACGTCATGTGTTGTCTGGTTTTGCTTCCCCTGTCACGAGTTCTGATCGCTCAGTGATGATACTTATATTTAAGCTTGCTAGAAAAGCTTGTTTGTGCAGATCCGATAAGTATATAGATCGATTTATACCTAGAGTTCTGTGCTTAGTGCGTTAGCATTTTTTCGCTCAGGGCTCATTTAGCTTCTTGTGAGACTTGTGTTTGGTTTCGGTAAAATAAATTCATATTGTCGTTAGCGTAGTTTCTTCCCGTTAAGTGAGTATGACACATTCATAGTTTATTAAACTTGTTCATAATTTATTCTAGACAAGTCATTTTGACGACTAAATGTATGTTATGTTTTTATTAGGACCATCATTTGTTTGTGACGCTGCACCTCAGAGAAGGTATGGTTATAGGCTTATAAACTGTGGCAAAAAACACAGTCAGTTGATCGAATGCACCTATTTCCACATCTACACTCCCATCAGCTGATTATTTCTATTTGCCTCACTTTATGAGCTTCACATCACCTGTGCCTTGTACCGCAGAGTTTGCAACGTCACAAATACATGGGGCCAATCTTCAGTCAGATGTGAATGTGTAATCTAACATTTTCAGTAAGAATAATGGACAAAAGGAGTGCAAATACAATTTATTGAAATGTGAATAATTTTTTTAAATAAAAAGCACATATGGACAGAAGGTGTAAACCTATTCAATGTAAACACATTTAGTCAAATAAAGTGACAGACTAGGCCTGTGCAGTTGGTATCAGCTATGCCCAGCATGGGCTCCTCCATCAGCTCTGGTCCTCCTCCATCAGGCTTGGTCCTCCTCCATCAGGCCAGTACCTCCTCGCAAATGTAGCCGGCGCTACTGTTTTCTGGATTAGCTGTCAGATCATTTCTTCACGTGGCTGGGCCGCCACTGGCCCTTTAAGACACACCCCCCCCTTCTTTAGTCAGCTGGCCCTTCCATATAAGGAAAACGTGCAGCTGTATGTAGTTCAGCATCTCCCGCCACACTTTAAATGCCCACTCACTCCTCACCCAAATCAGCTGTGACTATTACGAGTGTTCTTGTTCCAGTTATCGTTGTCTGGCTGATAGGCGTGTATTCCCCCTATACGAGGTATGTGAAGCTGCTGTTAGGACTTGTAACATTCAGTGTACCACTAAATTGTTAACATGTGGCCTGTAAACGCCAGGCTTCTTGACAGCCCCAGCAGAGACTGTGTAGAGAATCACCGTTGCGGAGGTGTCCAGTCAGTGAGGTGATAATTGAGTGAATGCGTTTGCATCAGTGGTAGGAGATTAATTGTATGTACATTGAAGGACATTCATATAAATCTTTATACAATTTCTAATCTCCTTTCTCCATTTATTTTAGATTTGGGATTTAGGTGTGTCGACTGGGAACGCTGAATACGTTTTAATCTGCATTTTATATTACTGAACTTTTACTTGATTATTTATATAATAAACATTTGTAAACATTTGAACTTGAGGCCGCGTCCCTGTCCATCCTTTTATTCTTATCTGCGTGACTTGTCCTAAGGGCTCGTATTGGGGAACCCAGGTTAGCGTTAAGTATCCTAACCCCCTTTTATTATCGCAGCCCCCCCTCCCCGGTGGGGCAGGTCACATTTTGGCGTTGTCGGCAGGATGGTATAAAGCAGTGACGTGTGCTTCTAGTTCTTTTGTACGATACAATTGTTTTTTTGTTTTTTTTCAGTGCTTTAAGTATTTCTTTTCTGAGGCATAAATAGACAAGGCTGTGTAGAGGTAAGGGGCAAAACGGTAGCGGACTAGCTGCGGGATTGAAGACCTGGCTGTGCTGTACGGTACCTCTCTCCTCTAGATCAGGCTTGCTTTATCTATGACCATCTGGAAAGTGAGGCTAGAGAGGAGATTAGGTACCGGCCACAAGGTGAACGCGAAAATCCAGAACGAATCTTAACTATTCTGCAAGAAATGTATGGTTGTTCTAAATCTTATCAAGAGAGTTTATTTTCCAGAAAGCAGCTAGTTGGAGAATCCCTCCAGGAGTATTCCCATGCCCTCTTCTGCCTCATGGAGAAAGTGGTTAAAAGCACCCCCGGAGGTATGACCAATTCAGCTGTACTGATAAGGGACCAATTTGTAGAGCATGTACTGGAACCTGCCTTACGTAGAGAGTTAAAACGCCTGGTTCGCATGCACCCAGATTACACCTTACTCGATGTCAGGACCGAAGCATTTAGATGGGAACAGGAGGGCCAGTCACCTAGTGTGAGAGAGAGAAGTCACTCCGTGCCATCATTTTGTGCAGTCCAAGGTTCCCAGGACAAGGGTGAGATGGCTGTTGCAGCTAATGATAAGGCTCAAGACAGGGTCGGCTCTAGAACAACTTGAATGGGGGGGCAATCATTTACCAAGGGGGGGCACACACTGCCGTCAACAACCAACACACAAACACCAACGCAACTTCAATTTAAAAAAACATGCTGTAAAGTCTATTGTCTTTCACACACATTGCAGGGGTGTAGTGCTATTGTATAGTGCACCTATGACTTGTGCATACATGCACGGTTGTGGCACGACCACCAAAACAGAAACATATAAGGACAGAGGGTGTCGTTTTCTCATACTGATATTCTGCACAAACTGTGCTGTTGTATTTGCTGTAAAGTGTCTTTACTGTAGGTTATTTTTGTATTATACTGTATATACAGCACTTTGGCTCGACCAAAAATCGTTGAAAAATGTGCTATATAAATCAAACTTGATTTGATTTGATATGGACATAGGCCATCATATAAAAAGTGTGCAAATGTATTTAGTATCCTATCCATGTGAACATGTTTTAGGTGGGGGTGGACCTAACCTCCTCTAGGAGGGTCTGGGGGCATGCTCCCCCGGGAAGATTATTTTTAAAATATTGAAGTTAAATGCATCAATCTGGTGCACTTTGAGAGCAAAGTGAAGAGATCTATGGATACATCTCTCAACATCCATATGAAACACAACTGTAAACAGATTTACTTTTTCTTAATGGATATTTCAATAATCATTCCCCTTTTAAACTGTATTCTTGTGTTACTGTCCTATAGTATTTCATACCCGTTTTTCATTTATTCTCTCTTTAATAACTATAATGATCATATAAAGGTATTCCTCGAAAATACTTACATAAATGGTGACCAAACCGTTTGAGACCCACTGAGATAACTTACACTAAAGTGAACTATCTAAACACTGAGAGTCCTTACCTCACTGAGCTGACGTTATAAGATCCTCTCAGTCTGACAGGAGAGGACTGTCCTCCACCTTGGTGTAGAAACAGCCCTTTATATCCGTTAGCATAGCTAGCTAACCAGATGCTAACCACAACATTCCACGTTACCGCTCGTGCACTCACAAAATGCGCTCGTGCCAGGGGCGGATCTGCCGGGGTGGCATGGGGTGGCAACTGCCACCCTAAACAATAGCCTTGCCACCCCAGCTGCCACCCCAGTTGGCATCTTTGTTTTGAAAGAAAAGTTGTGGCTCATCGGACATTTATGAGAGAAAGTCTCTAATGTCCGAGTGCAAGTGAATGCAGCACAAGATGCACGTCATGTAACCCCTCCCCCGGTCCTGGCGCGAGAGTGGAAATATGATTGGTGGCGAATTCACTTGAAGGTGGGGACGGCGCAAAACGAGAAGCCTTTCGGACCCAAGCACTGAAGGAATGAGGTAGTTGCGGTCTACAATGACAGAGAAGAGAATGTCAAGTTTGGCTGTACTCAGCATTGAATCAAAACGCACTACAGCTGTTGATCTTAATACATTTGTGAGGCGTTTTGCTGAACAAAATAGTAATCGCCGCATTCAGCTGTAATAGACATGTCAACTTGATGCTCTGCTCACGGATGACTCGATGAGAATAACAAACTGTTAAGATG